TTTTTTTTTTTGTGGGGGGATTCACTAGCACTAAAATCATCAGCTTTCCATCACCGTGGTGCTTTTCTCCAGATGTAGAGCTGCTTGTCAGCTTGTCCTCTTTATGTTTTACTTAAAATGAATATTCAATATATAGGGTTAATGACTTTAAATCCTTTTTAATTAGCCCTGTAACCCATCCCAAGTTAATAGGCATCATTAGTTATGTTGTCTTCTACTGATGTCTTTTTACTTTATCCTTTTAACACACCTGAATACGTCACCGCAGCATTGCTTCTGCCACTTACTTTCAATTAGTTGAAAATCCTAATGTGTGCATCAAACGTCTCTTAGTTTTGATGCATGTCCGTGGTTACTCTTATTTAAGCTCACCAGGTGTTGCTCCTTGGGATTTTTGCTGTTTTGTTCCTCTGCTGACTTATTGATATGTTAAATGCAATGAGAAACTTTCCCCTTTTTTCTGCTCATTAGCTATAGCTCAGCTGAGTGTTTGCTACACATTAACTACATTTGTTTTTGCCTGGAGGCCCTAAGAAAGGGGTCTGTTCTCCCCAAACAGCCTTAAAGCGCTGCTTCCTCTTATAGGAGGCAGATCGTTTGGCTGTCATCTGAGGAAGTTTTCTAATCTTAGCTGTGAAATCTATCCGTCCGTCTCAGAGGGCTGCTGGCCACAAGCAGACGGCTGCAGCCTCAGTGGTGTTTGCTACCTGCGTGCCCTGGCAGGAAGTTAGGATGAGACTTAAAGGTAAGGGGCTTCAGCTGGTTGTTAGAACAGCAGATCTCAGTGTTGGTTGATATTAACTGGATCGTATCAAAGTTAAGGGCCTGTTCCACATTTCCTACTCTGTGCTTTGCATCCTTTAAAACTGCAGTGTTGCAGTCCACCCACAGGAATTAGAACCCTAATCCTAACGGCATCTTATTAATGCTTGTGGTAAATTTCATTGCTTTTATTCAGTTTTTTGAGGTTCTCCTGACTATCTCTAACTAAAAGTGGGATTTGTTTGCAGCTTATTAATGACAATATAATAGTTTGGTTAATCTACAAACTCTTAACAGTGTGTCTCCGTGTATTGATGTTTTTTGTAAAAAAAATAATAATAATTTTATCCACCCTGGATCTGAGGATTTCCTTCGTCCTTTTTTCAGGTTTGCATTCTGGCAGCTCATGGAACAGGACACGGGGGAGATGTTTGGTCAGTGTCAACCTGTTTGTGTGTGCTTTACACCAGCATGGAATCTGTAGGATTGAGTCTTTCTGATGGACCTCTCATTTTAGTCCTGAGCAAATTTTACAAATGATAAGCAATCCTGGTGTAAATCTCGCTTTTAGCACTTTTTATATTCATATTTTTGCCAATATTGACTCCTATCTACGAGATCTGAAGCCCCGCTTTCCATTCTGGTGTGTTCCAGCTTCTAACAGCTTGGGTTGGAGTCATAATCAGCTCTACAAAGACATGAGGTGTTTATGTTTACGAAGTCAAAACTTGGTCAAATACGACCATGTGATTAAGGTTCTTCAGATTTTCTTTTTATTTGATGAATAAGCTTTGCTCTTTGCCTGTTCTTTCAGAACAAAGTAACATTAAGAGGATTGAACTAGTTTTCTTATTATAATTTAGAGTTTTCTATTTGTAATATGAGCGACAAAGCAGCAGGTCAGGAATACGACTTCAGTCTATTTGGGTGTTGGACCCGGTTGGTGCACTCTGTAATGGTGGGTTTATGTGTCTGCATCGGATCTATTATTGAGTGACCTACAGACTTGGCCCGTCCACGGAGTGGGACTGCTTTATTTGGATGCCTACTGTAAACAAGGAAACTTGACCTGCAGCGGTGGGCAGCTATTGAACCAAACTGAATATAACCTGGAGGTGATCCA